GCAAGTGTGTCTGACTCATATGTCCTTCAAGTACATGCAAGGCTCAATTGTTTCCAAAATGCAGGAGGCTTGGGACCTTTTAAGACACTGAAGAAATAGGATTATGAGGAGAGCCCATCTGAGTAAGTACTTTATCCAGCCACTGAAGGGGACCATGAAGGTGTATCTCTATCCAGCATGGAGTGCTCGTTACATCTTGGCGATGATATTCAGCTCCCCAACCCTGGAAACAGAATCATAAGCAGGGAAAGAAAAAAAAAAAATCACCTTATCGAATACATGAGAAGCATACTTCAACCATCTTTCTTACTGGAATTACTTGGCTTCCAACAGTGATTACCACCAGGGTCACACAAGACCCTTGATGCACCAACTACTATCACATTACAACAACATATCTTCAGTAAAAAAATAATTTAAAATTTGGAGGAAGTCATATTTTGAGATCTCTTAGACTAAAGTTTTTAAATTCTCAAAGAAATAACTGGTGGCAGTGCAAAACCTCCCTATGCCTCACTGTCAAGTTGCATGATGTCCCATAAAGACTCTTGCAGAGGGGGATAATGAAGAAGTTGTCTCTGCCAAAACCAAAAATAGACCAAACTGGGAAAAAGTGCTGCCAAATAGATTGATAAATTAATAAACAACCAGTCACAGACTGACATAATAGAAGTGGGGGTGAGGCTTCTGTTGGACAAGAGCAAAGCATCTTTTGCAGGATGGACAGGATAAACCAGAAACATCGGCACTTCTTTTTGGAGAAATAAGGCACGGTCATTCCCCAACAGGCTATTTCCCAAGTTGAGACAAGGGCTGATAGGTTTTCTTTCAGCTCATACCCAATTTGGTTACAATAATTATCAAGGATATAAGCAGACATTTGTACAACATTCAAAATCATTTTGTAAGTAAACCACGGGTGGGGAGGTGGGGAGAGAAACTGGAGACAGCAGTAAGAAGATTAACTGCAGTTACAGTTTGCCCTATATTAACCCCCTAATGAAGGGGTTACTCAGCTCCCAGCACAGTTGGCAGCAACTCTAACCACTGTGCAGTGCAACATCCAGCACCAAGGAGCTCCTGTGCACCTGTCAGACAACATGCCCGTACCACTTCACGGGACGTATAGCCTATAAACAACCTCCTTCAGTGCAGGAGCTTTGCCCTAACACACACACTGAAAGTTTCTATCTCCCGATCTTCTTCTCTCAAGAAGGGCACTTGAGCATATTACCTGTGTCGTTTGACTGGTTCCAGACACATGACCAGCCTTTTTATATCAGGGCATATTTTGAAGCTCATAGCCACCCTAACAAACCATAACCTAATGGTTACATGCCCTGTAGTACAGACAGGTATGTGTATTATTCCCAGTAATTGCTGTAACTCCTAATTCGGGAGCTGCCGGTGAAGACACATTTAGAGGATTATGCTATCTATGTCCCAGCAAATGCTATGATCACCTATGCTGCAGTCTCAGCTCACCTCTCAAAAAAATGCCAGCCAGGAACAGAAGCATGAAATTAAGCAGGACTTCTTACAAAACAGGAGATGGGCAAAGACTAACAGTGTAATTTAAAAGGGTAAAAGCTGATACTACGTAACTGACTGGTGACTTTTCCACTTTTAGGCCAAGCAACTAACCACTCAACTCTTTTCAAACATAACTATACTGTATTAAGCCATATTCCCCCAAAATTAAAAGACAAGCCTCACAATTCCAGAGTAATTATGCCAATAATTACATATATTTATATAAAAATTATATATACACTTTTAAATACAGGTATTCAACTGAATCAACATGGTAAAAATAGAGGTAATACAATGAAGTTAAAATAGTTAACACACATGATGGAAGCACTTTACAAACTGACTAGCAAGAGATCTGAAAAAATATTTTCTGGAAGTCAGTTTTAAATGTTTGTGTGTTAATATAATTTTTTTTCCCCACAAAGACAACTGCATATCTTTAAGATATGTCTTATATGTAAAGAATATTATTCTGTAAATATTTAAATTTAACAGTCATTAACAGGTTGACGCAGAGAGACAACGGACCATGCAAAATCACCTCATTAAGAAAGAATAATTTATTTTGCTTACAAGGAAAATTTCACATACCTTTACAAAACTCATACGGAGAGTGCACATCTTAGTAAGCTCATACACTGTCTCAAAGCCATGGTTCACCGACTGAGCCAAAAGCTGAGCAAACTCTTGATTATTGAAAATCTTCAAACTGCAGCCACTAGGAATTTTGCACACGGTGGTTGGATGGAAACCATGATGGTAGTTGCAGTTCCGACTTTGCACAAAAATACTACTGTCACTAAGGCATTCAGCATACACTTCTCCACCAACATAATAGAGATGAACACCTGGGAGGAAAAAGTTAATGTTAGGAGGTCAGATAATTCAAACCGCATATCTATTTTTCATGCTCTGTCTTCATAGCGATACCTTTTTGCTTAAAGAAATAAACATTAATTACATTTCAGACCATCATCAGTCTTTCTTAAAACTTGATTTTTACTTTTCTGTTTCATCAGTAGGTGATTTTAAAAGGAACACGTGTATGTACGTATGTACGTGTAAGAAAAATCAGTAACTGTTGCACTTCACCCTGCATATTCAGCAACAACAAATCAGCAGTAGTTTGCAGTAGCTCTGATGCTGTACATCGGATGACTTGACCACCTGAAGTTTGGTCTCATTATATTTATATGAAATAATAAATGAGAATGCAGGAAGACAGAGCAGAAAACTACTGCATGCTTTGCAAATACTAGAACAACCCTAAGCAGTTTCTCTGGAGAAGTCCTGACTATCATTCTGGCTAGCATGATTTTTTTTAGACTCATTGTAATGCTTTAACATCAGGAAGCTGGCAAATGAAAAGTGTTCATGTTCCTCAAAGGTATCCCCGACATGAGGGTAAAAAACAACTTTACAACTCTCTCCCCTTCTACTCTGCTCCCTCATGTGCCATTGATGGCAGCAAGCCCCGAAAGAATGGCATAAGATACAGAGAACTTCTGTGGATATTTGCTGTCAGTACAACTCAATTCCAAAGGCTTTGAAAAAGCATGAAAATTTGCCCTTTTTGTTTAAAAATGGGTTATTTGCTGTTCAAGCCGTTCACCTCCCACAATGTCAGGAGTCAAAAGTCAATAGAGAATTTGAAAACTAAACTGAATTAAGTCAGAAAGCTTTGACTGTGCTCTGTCACGTAAGATTTTGCTGGTGACCATGTGTGTGCATGTGTGGGTATGTGTATGCCCTTATCTGATCAGCAAGACAATTTCTGGCTTTGCCTTCAAGTTCGGGATTTACTTCTTTTTCCTGAAGACTAACAGCTTGATGTCATCATTAACTGTATACCTTTACTTACTCAACAGCCTCCTCGCCTTTTCTACTCTACTTTGGTACATATACAGTTAAGTGCTTCAGCAGAACTTTGCTTGCAGCTGGGTTACTTTTGCATTTTTAAAGGGAAAATGAATGAAGTGTTAAATAAATATCCTGATGCTCGGTACGATGGATAGGGAGGAAAAGGAGGAACAAGTATTAGGACTTGAGTGGCACAGCACAGCTGCGATGTGCAGCTCTCAGCAGAGTTAAGTCCCCATGCAGAAGAAAGTTTTCCAGGCTAAAGGCTAAAACCTGAAGACCTAACTCTTCCCTTCAGCTTCAGTTCTTTCCTCCTCTAAGGAGGAGGAAGATAATTCATTAACTGGTACTTATAACTGCTGCTTGGACCCTGAACTATTTCAGCAAATCCAGAGCTTATTAATAACGTAGGCACTTA